CCTTAAGGCCCTCCGCTTCTTCCTGTCCCGCAGGCCCGACCAGTCCCCCTCCACTGACACCCTCATCCGCTTAGCCGAACTCGTCCTCACACTCAACAACTTCTCTTTCAATTCCTCCCACTTCCTACAGACAAAGGGGGTAGCCATGGGTACCCGCATGGGCCCAAGCTACGCCTGCCTCTTTGTAGGTTACGTGGAACAATCCCTCTTCCGTACCTACACCGGCCCTAAACCCCACCTCTTCCTCCGTTACATTGATGACTGTATCGGCGCCGCCTCGTGCTCCCACGAGGAGCTCGAACAGTTCATACACTTCACTAACACCTTCCACCCCAACCTTAAGTTTACCTGGACCATCTCTAACACCTCTCTCCCCTTCCTGGACCTCTCTGTCTCCATATCGGGCAACCACCTAGAAACCGATATTCATTTCAAGCCCACCGACTCCCACAGCTACCTAGAATACTCCTCCTCCCACCCACCTTCCTGCAAAAATGCTATCCCCTATTCCCAATTCCTTCGCCTCCGCCGCATCTGCTCCCAGGATGAGGCATTCCACTCCCGTACATCTCAGTTGTCCTCGTTTTTCAAGGACCGTAACTTCCCCTCCTCGGTGGTCGAGAACGCCCTCAACCGTGTCTCCCACATCTCCCGCACCTCATCCCTCACACCCCGTCCACGCAATAAAAACCAAAAAAGAATCCCCCTCGTCCTCACGTACCACCCCACCAACCTCCGGATCCAACGCATCATCCTCCGACACTTCCGCCATCTGCAATCCGACCCCACCACCAAAGACATCTTTCCCTCCCCACCCTTATCTGCTTTCCGGAGGGACAACTCTCTCCGTGACTCCCTTGTCCGCTCCACACTCCCCTCCAGCTCCACCACACCCGGCACTTTTCCCTGCAACCGCAGGAAGTGCTACACCTGCCCCCATACCTCCTCCCTCACCCCCATCCCAGGCCCCAAGAAGACTTTCCACATCAAGCAGATGTTCACCTGCACATCTGCCAATGTGGTATACTGCATCCGCTGTACCCGGTGTGGCTTCCTCTACATCGGGGAAACCAAGCGGAGACTCGGGGACCGCTTTGCAGAACACTTACGCTCGGTTCGCAACAAACAACTGCACCTCCCAGTCGCGAACCATTTCAACTCCCCCTCCCATTCCTCAGACGACATGTCCATCCTGGGCCTCCTGCAGTGCCACAACGATGCCACCCGAAGGTTGCAGGAACAGCAACTCATATTCCGCTTGGGAACCCTGCAGCCCAATGGTATCAATGTGGATTTCACAAGTTTCAAAATCTCCCCTCCCCCTACCGCATCCCAAAACCAGTCCAGCTCGTCCCTGCCTCCCTAACCTGTTCTTCCTCCCACCTATCCCCTCCTCCCACCTCAAGCCGCACCTCCATCTCCTACCGACCAACCTCATCCCGCCCCCTTGACCTGTCCGTCCTCCCTGGACTGACCTATCCCCTTCCTAACTCCCTACCTACACTCACCTTTCCTGGCCCCATCCCCGCCTCTTCGACCTGTTTGTTTCCTCTCCACCTATCCTCTCCTCTATCCCTCTTCTATCCGCCTCCCACTCTCTCCCTATTTATTTCAAAACCCCCTTCCCCTCCCCCTTTTCTGATGAAGGGTCTAGGCCCGAAACGTCAGCCTCTCTGCTCCTATGATGCTGCTTGGCCTGCTGTGTTCATCCAGCCCTGCACCTTGTTGTCTCAGATTCTCCAGCATCTGCAGTTCCTACTATCTCTGAATATTTCAGGCTGATGACTTTTCATCAGAACAGATTTTGTTTCTGTTTTAGGGTAGATTTTCCTTTCCTGCAATGGGGGAATCATGTTTCCCAAGCATAGAGAAGAGGAGGGTCTAATGGTTCCCTCCATTGTAATCAGTTATATATCCCACTATGTACAGCTGTGCTCAGGGATGGATATTCCCAACAGATGATACATTTGAATAGCTGTGTTTACTGGGCTACGCAGCATTGCAGCTTCCAATGAAATGTGGCACCATGACCTGCCTCAGACCCTCCCTGATAGATTGTTTTGTAGGGTTACCAGGTGCATTCTGCAAACACAAGGATGGACGTCTTTTTATTGATAAAGACCAAGCCTTCTGGCTGCTTGTCTTGAGTAGTAACCAGAAAGGCCAACTCAGAAGTTCAAAAAGGCAGAGCAGGCTCAAGTGATCTATAGCCACAGTAAATTACTGTTTAATGGTTATAATCCCTAGTCAGGATGTGGTTTGAGTTTAGTATCACCATTGGCTAGGCATGTGACCTACGGAATAAATAATATCATCATCTTCCCCTCTCATAAATGAAGGAATTAAAATTTACCCTAAGATTACCAATAAAAGATGACATTGATGGACACATTCACGCAAGCCTATTTGAATTTACTGCTTTTTTTTTAGTGAGTAGGTTCACCCAAGTCTGTTTGGAATTACTCCCATTTTATTTAATATTGTATCCTCAGTAAATCCATTGGTAGCCTATAACATAAAAGCAATAAACTGTGGATAGTTTAACGGTTTGAAATTGGGTTGTTCTAACACTAGTGAACAAATTCCTTTGTCCAGTGTTTTGATGGTAACATTTGCATCTGTATTAAACTGACAGGGATATAAAAACATTAAGCACATGCACTCTAACATTCATTGAACCAAACATTATACTATCAAGGAAATGGAGCTATGGGATATAAAATTCAGCATATTTTGAATTCATTTATGCCAAACAGTCTGCTGGAACAGCACATAGACAAACGTTGTGCAATATATTAAGCTTACAACAATCTAGAGCATCTTTGCCCTCATGTTGTCTGAATACCTTCCATGGATGTTCATAATTACTTACCTCAGTGTTTGTATTTTATTCTTTTAGGATGGGCCGTTCTGAATAAAGGCTTGTTTCTTAATTATATAACATGACCTTAGCTTTAATGTTATTTTCTGTCTCAGCTGAATGCGAACACAAGATCTACAGTGCAATTGGTACCATCACCAGTCCTAACTGGCCAGACAAATATCCTAGTCGCAAAGAATGTACGTGGGAGATCTCAGCAACTCCAGGCCACAGAGTAAAAATAGTAAGTTTTTGATTTTAAAAGTGAATTACCAACTAGACTTTTTAAGTAATATTATCACAAATTACCATTACTCCTTCATGGCTGGGCTAACCATAAATACTTAAATTGTATATCACAAGATAATAACTGGAAGTTTAAACAACCTCCTCCAGTGAGAAGGAATATGGGAAGGAGTTAAAACTGATGCCATCTCTGATCCCTTTAATTGTTAAACTGGTGAATTATGTCGTGAACAAGGTTTCCTGAAAAGGCAGGTGGGTACCAACTTAATATTCAAAAGCCACAGCTCAGTGATGTCATGGGCACAGTGACAGAATATTGAATGGACAACCGGGGGAACCCTGCAATGGCTCTCCCTGCACGAATGGCCAACTTAACAGAAGATACCAATGTAATTCCACACATTTACCTCTAAGAATGTCCCCAGCCCCTCCACTTCACACAACCAGAATTCATTAGGAGCATTTTGGGCTCTCTTGTCCCAATCTCCTCTCATCCATGTGGCACAGGAATCTTTTGCCAGTGGTCCTTTGACTGCTGCCTTCTGCTACCTCTCTCACCTGTTATGAACCTCAATGTTTTAGTTTGAACGTTTATTTAACTGCATTCCTGCCATTATAATTGGCAGTCTCCACATCTAAGAGAACTCTCCAGTGCACTAGCATTCCTGCTCTGCAGTAAAATATTAACCAACATTAAACAAAATATGTATTTAGCTTTCCCATTATGAAAAGCTCCAGAAGACAACATCTTGACATATCAACCACGAATTACTGTGAAAGTACTGAAGTACCACGAACTTTTGATTCTGTTTATGCATGCAGGATACTGAAATATTTGTTCAGATTTTGAAAGGAGTTATATTTTCAAACTAAATTTGTAAAGAATTCAAGTTGTACCAACAGATTGAAAAAATCCACATGGAAAGTTAACCTTATGGTATTGACATCTTTTCATTCGCCATCAAATAGCAGGTCTGAACCATGGCATTGCAGTATCCAGCGCAAGTAACACGAGGAGGCAGGTATTAAACCTATCCCAGGTAGACCAAGAATCAAATCCCCTGCTTTTAGCACAAATCTGCTTCACACCTACCATCTAGTCAAATGACCCAACCATGACTGACCAGGAATCCCTCCTGCTCTAACTGCCTGTCACTGCAGCACTTTCGAAGGATTTCTAGATTGATCAGGAACCTGTCTGGCTGCATTATGAATTTACCTTTCTTGGCCATCAAGACCTGGAATCAGTCTTGTATCTGGAGCTTCTGGTTCAGTAGTCACGGTTGTTCCCATAGTGCCACAAGACCACTAATGCATAAGCAGTTTAAAATGGCAAATGGGAACAACCCTCTTTTGGTGTTAAGTGCATACTGCGTGCAACAGATGTTCCATTTCCCAATTAGTATAAACAGAGACAAAATTGCACTCATCATTGGGAGTGGGTAAATAGCTTACTGTGCATATAACTCGTGCAAAATGTGATCCATGAGTCTTTGCTGATATTTATCAGTGTGAAAAAAAAGGTGCAATTTCTGGGGTGAGAAAACAACAAAAGAAATAACAGCAATGAGTGAAACTTTGCCTCATGATATTAATTGCTATTTTGAAAGCTTGATGCTTAGTGTATATTCTAAATAAGATAATAGAAGGTTCTTTGCCATTCCATCCGTTGGTTCCTATCAAACACTTTCTTCAAGTAATTTTCACTTGCTGCTTAAATTCAGAATTTGGTTACAGAACTCCTTCTCAAGGGCAACTGTTAATATAGAGTGAAAACCTTGGGCGATTTGGCTGGACTCCAGTGGACATTAGGTTAGATGGATTTTCTGGAGGAGTGTCAGAAATTGGTAATAACAGCACGTTGTATTTTACTACTGTCAGTTATTAAAATAAATGTTGCTAAAATTATATGTCATTGTTCTAAAGAACTGAAACAGTGATCCTTCCTGACCATGCTGTACAAACTGTTGCAATTGATTTGATACCTGATCAATAATTATTTTTAAATAATTTATATTTAAATAATTATTGATCCAGTATTAAATTAGTTGTAGAAGTTTGTACAGCATAGTCAGGAAGGATCACTGTTTCATTATCCCTTTTAAGAGAGATTTCAAAGAATCTGTCATTTGATATATTTGACCAGCTGTATTTTAGAGGTTGTCAATCAAATTACTGTCCAGTAGACTTAAAAGATAGAATTTGCTAATCCTATTTTTAAAAAAAGCTGCATCAAGTAAAGCTCAGGCATGTAAAATATCACACAGACTATCCACCCTCTCTACCATTAAAGTTTAAAGTCTAAAGCTAAAGCCTGAATTCACTACTCCTAAGCTCCCAGTGAAGTGCTACCTGCAAAACCAGCATGGTCATAAGACACAGCTCCAAAACTCTACCACTGATTTTCCAGTCTATGTAGAATTTGAAGCACAGAAACTAATAATTCTGCCAAATGCCAGTATTTGTACTTCATGCGATCCTCCTTTCACCCTCTTTCATTTAACCCAAACCACACCACTTCTGGCACGGCTACATGGTGGGAACTTAGAATCTGTGAAATGATCTAACTTGGATTCTAACAAATATCTCTCCCTTATTTTGAGCCTGTCAACTACCCCTTTCTACCCACCGTGAATTGAATTCCACTGGGAGTCTGGTGTTGAAAAGCTTCCTCCATTTACCACTCATCAACTCCTGTGACTAACAGGAGAAGAAGTAGATAGCTTTTAGTGGAGCAGGGAGCCATCTTAAATGCTCATTTTATTAGAATTTGATTCAACCTGAAGCCTTAAAAAAAAACACCATTTCCAATAGTCAGGGCTTTTTCCCTTCCCCTTGAAGCTCATTTCTCCTCTTCAAGTTGCAGCCTTGCCTGAATTTTCTAAGCTGGTGACGGTGATCTCCATCATTCTGTATGGGGCACCCAATGGAAAGATTTGCCGCTAGGTTAAAAGCTTAACCCAGGAGGCAAGAGCACTGCTCACTTTGGGATTAGGATAACTGGCAGGAATCCTATCCAAATCATCCAGTCTAATTTCTGGAACATCCAGCATGAGACTTTTTCATCTTCAAAATCATTGGTTCTGTTATCTCTGACTCTTCTCTGTCCCCTATCTTTTCTGTTAACTCAACCTGACTGGTCTGAGTTTCTCCTCATTTTTTTTTTCCTTTTTGATATTGTTTTCAACGTCATAAACTTCTGTCTATGATCTGGTATCATCCCCACAGCCTCCAATTCCTCTATCATTACTCATTTCTTAAAAAAGCCCATCATTGACTCTGAAATCCTCTTTAAATTATCAGCCTGTTTCTAATTGTTTCTTCTATGAGTTTAAGTGCAGTATTGCCATTATTCCAGCTTTTTACATCTCTCACCTTTTTTGAGTTGTTCCAATCTGAACTGCCCACTGCGCCAAGACAACAATAAAGTCAGCAACAAGATCTTAAGTGACTCCACTCAATGGTATTTGTTTTTCTTGATATTTTTATTCTGTTTGGTACTATTGATCATTACACTTTCCCTCTCCATAATTCCATAGTTAATATCCATCAAACTCTCTCTCTGTTTCTGTCTTTGTCTCTGTCTGTCTGTCTGTGTCTCTCTCCCTCTCATATTGTTTCACTCTTTCCTGTACCAAAAGATGTCTTATTTTCTTCAGTATCTACCACATTTCTCCTCCCTGTTATCGTCTCTACGTTATCCCTCAGTAACATTAGCTGGAAGCACAGATTCATCTGATACGTCTGCTATACTATTTGCACCTGTATATTAGTTTACGTGCAGTTGTATTATCAAATTATCCATTTGATATCATTGTCCTAGTCCTTTTTATAAACTGTTATAACCCTAAATTGAAGATGGTTTGTTTTTGCTGCTGTTAGAACCTGAATGTCTCTAGTTTTGACATTATTAATACTTTCAGCCTGCTGAATCCTGCAGTTCACCCTCTAGGTGATCTTGTTCAATATGGAGCTGCACTTCCAACCCACATGTTATCAAGATCACTTCCTTCCTTTCCAACCATCTGGTATCCTTGTTGTTACTTCACCATCGCTGTTGCTGAAACTCTCGTCTTTAGTACCTTGGTCAGAAGTGGCAGAAATTATATGTCATTGTGGTTGCTCAGCCCAATGGTCAGAAATTCAGGGACGAAACCACCTTTCTTGATCTTTGAAAGCCGTGACCCTGTTTTAAGTTATTCGGGCAATTAGTCGTCTGAAGTCTACTCTTCTGAGAGAGTGTGCCTGCGCCCAACAGCTTCAGGTCAGCAAATGGGCGGGCAGCATTTCAGTCCCAACATCACCACTGGGAGTAGGCTGGGACTGCAGCAGTCCCCAGATCGACAATGATGGAAGAGGTCTAGAGTTCAGGTGGCTAGGTCTGGGTAGGCCTCACTGAGGTTGGGGTTCGGTGTTGATCACGAAAGCAGGAGTAAAACCAGGGGTAAAGGGAGCAGGATGAAAACTCCACTCTGAGCCTGTAGTGAGGCTGCCAACTGATAAAGATGTTCTGTCCTGGTGGTGCAATGCCATTCCTCCCTTTTACTAGTAAAATACCAGAGCAGAAGGATGGAGCACTCTAGTAGCCACTAACTGGGCTATGGACAATGAGACAACATACCCTGACAATGGTAAAATACCAGCAGAGGTGAGAAGCTGATGGGCCCAGCACCACCTGCTTGCATGCCTGCTCCCATAGTGGAGCTGTAAAGGTCTGTTCAACATATCTAATGCTTGTCTGACTGAGCTCCCCCAACACCTGCCCTGGGCCATTGCCACTTATTCAGAATGCTATGGCCTGTCTTTCGCTCTCTCACATGAAGTTCCATATACTTATTAATATCAGCCCCTCCACAAACTTTTGAAGATCCCTTGATCCCTCTTCCTGTGGACAAAATCCTCAGCATTGTTAACAAATTGCTGCACATTCTCACTCCACTTAGCAAGTATGCATAACTCTAAGGTTTTGGAGTAGATCTGTAGCTCAGGTTGTGGGTG